ACTTGTTTTACTAAATTAAATAATCGCGTGTTGAGTTTGGAAGCCAGTCTCAGGACGAGATGTTAATTGACTGTTTATGGCATGTCGTAAATATTTATAGGGAAGTGTAGCCTACACGTGCTATCGTATCTTTTGTCATGGCATTTGCTATGAGTCACTGAATGCAAATCAACAGCGCGGCTGACTTGCTCGTCATTACTTTACAAAGAAACTGGTTGTTTCCTGTTACAATATCCCGGATTAATCAATGAGTTATATATCCTTTGTTACGATGAACACGGTGCCCTATCGCCTAGGTGCTTGGTTCTCAACATGCTTCGTATGACACGAAGCTTACCAAAATAGTCGTGAAATCAAATTACTCAAACCAACGAGAAATTAACTTTAGCTAAGATAGCGAATGCACAGAACAGATCTTAGAGAAGAGATTTATATAGTCCAACTTAAGCTCAGAATGAGAGGACAAGTCTTGATTGCTTCAACTCTACATTTAGAATTGTTTTTGTCTTGTTTTGAATTTTATATTACTTTATTATTTTGGATAGAAAATATTTCTAAATACAATACCTTTGTTTCTGGGACTTAATGAGAGATGACTGTCATGGCGGATGAATCGTTTGTCACCAATGATAAATTAAAAAAGAAATCCAACTCAAATCTAGAATGATTTGGCAAGTCCAGATTTCCACAATGTTCTAGGTTCCATTTGGATCATATTTTAAAAGTTATATATCATATTTGGAATAAAATTTCAAATATTTCTGGGACAAATTGTTAGTCTAGAGGATCGGTCCAGGGTACGTAGAGAAGGAGGTAAAATATACAAGCTGTTCGAGGACTGACTGACTGAGTTTGGTTTTACGCCGCTTTTAGCAATATTCTAGCAACATCACGGCGGGGGACAGCAAGAAATGGGCTCCACACAATGTACCCATGTGGGGATTCGAACCCGAGTCTTTGGCGTGACGAGCCAACGCTTTAACCACTAGGCTACCCCACCGCCCCAGCTATTCGAGGATGCTGCTGTTATCGCCAAAGAGAATGGCACAACACAGACCGGAGTCGTTTTTGAACAATTACATTAATTTCCATTTGAACAATTGCTGTTTTAATTTCGACGTTTCATCATTGCCCAGAGTCTGCAGTTGGTTGGAAAGGGAGGTAATGATTGGTGTGTATGGCGCGGTAGGGTGTATGGGCGGTGGGGGAAGGGAGGTGTGAATACGGCTGGCGGTGGGTGTCGGGGGCGAAGTGTCCGTACAATGTTTGCCGACATATTTTAATCTGTTAAGTAAAGAAACAAAGACGAGCGCGTGTGAGAGATGGGAGGAACTGCCGTTAAATGGTTATTCAGGATTTTAACTTCATGTCAACTTAGTGACGGAGGGAAGCCCCAGTTGGTGCAAGTTAAACGCTGCAGTGGATTCAACGAGCACGGCTTTGGCGACAAAACATGGATTTCATTTGCTTTGTGATGTAATATCTCAGCGAATCGTGTGCCTGAGACATTCCCATCACCCCCACCCACCTCTCCCCCTTCCTATCACCTCATCTCTCCCCATCACACCCTGTGTTATTAATTGGAATCGCAGCAGTAATTTTTATCCGTTTCCGGTGAAATGTGCAAGATCTGTCGCCCATTTTTTCTTTTCTTCCCTTTGCGTTGTTGAAATCAGACAGTGAGTGAGTGAGTGAGTGGGTATTGCGGCTCACTGATTACTACTCATCAAGGCGTTTTACAATCAGTTGATTTGTCTGAAATATACATTCCCTGCTCATGTCGACAGTCACATGACCTTGCGATGCACCCCGCCTTCTGTGTGACGTGGCAGGCTTGGCTATTAATAGAACAGTGTCATTTATCACGCGATATTTGATCAAATGGAGCACATTCTTCGTTGATGACGTGGCAAAAGTGACGTATCAGTTATGTATAGGAGAAACCTGTAAATGTACATCATTTCCCAAACTTCATGACACATGTCCACGTGTAAATGGATTGGGAAGACAGTAAATGGAAACATAGATGAAGCAGTGAAGCAGAAATGGGTCTCTTTTTCAATACAAATAGAGTTTTTTTTGTTTTATAAAAATGTTAAATTTTCAGAGACTAAGTGTTATTCTAGTGGATATGTAACACAGGTAAAGGCTGCCGCCACATATACCTCTCTCGATACTGCTACAAGTTTTGAGGGGGTCTTTACACGGTAGCAGCATTGTTGACCCAGTGGCATACATTATTGCAGACTCAGCCTCTCCACTCATTGGACAGCATTGTTGACTCAATAAAATCACCCTGTGACATCATTGTCGACCCGATGACGTCATGGTTGATTCGGTAAGAGCATTGTTGATTCGGTAATATCACTCCGTGACATCATTGTCGACCCGATGACGTCATGGTTGATTCGGTAAAAGCATTGTTGATTCGGTAATATCACTCCGTGACATCATTGTCGACCCGATGACGTAATGGTTGATTCGATAAGAACATTGTTGACTCGGTAAAATCAAAAACGAGATCGGGTGGTCAGGCTCGCTGACTTGGTTGACACATGTCATCGGTTCCCAATTGCGCAGATCGATGCTCATGCTGTTTATCACTGGATTGTCTGGTCCAGACAACATTCTCGCCATATAGCCGGAATGTTGCTGAGTGCGGCGTAAAACTAAACTCACTCACTCACTGCTGACAAAGTGACTTCATTGTTGAACCAGTGTCATTATTGTTGACAAGGGAAGTTGATCACTGGATTGTCTGGTCCAGACTCGATTATTTACAGACCGCTGCCATATAGCTGGAATGTTGCTGAGTGCGGCGTAAAACTAAACTCACTTACTGATAAGGGACAGCTTTACTAAACAATAGCAAACAATAGCCTTCAATTATAGTTTTACGTTCTCAATAGTTCATTTCAAGATTCTATAAAACAATTATGCTTGGAAAACAAAATACTGTGTGTGGACGTGTGAGGAAGACCGCATTTCACCTGGAAGAATATACCAATCAGTTTTCAGACTCACCTAAATTATCATTTTAATAAGCAAGAAACTCCGCAGTGTAAATAAACCGACTTTGTCTTGTATTCTCCCGTTTTGGTGTAAACGAAGTTAAAAAAAAACTACATCGGCAATAAAAGGATAATACGATATGCCTGACAGTAGTATAAGAAATATCACTGATGTAGGAATATATATGCATTTCAAGTATAAGCACATGATTAATTTGAACTGATTTTGAAATGAAGACATTCAGGTTTATGAGTCACAGTAGGACGACAGGAACAAGGAAGTAATACTTCCTATCGGAATTTTACATTCGAGTGCAGAATTGGTCGCGTGTATTGGTCGAAATTGAACAGTGGGTTGAATATCGAACCGAACTCCCAATCACAATTAGTTGGACTCAAAACAGAGACGGCACGTGAGTCATAACGACTCGCTACAGGGTTACCTTATTGACCGGAGTTATGTCACCATCCTCGCTATAACGCGCTCGCACAAGGCTCTGATTTTATAAATATTTAAAAGACTCTTGATCATTCCGTATCCGGGCTGTAACAAATTCTACAGCATCGAAAGGAGTCATTCTTTCTTGCTGTGATTTTTTTTTAAATGTTTGTGACTTGGATATTGTAACTATATGTAAATTTAAAATTGAGCATATATATTAATAAACTCAGGGAGTATTCTCCTCAATAACGATTTTATTAATTCACAAAATACGTTCTATTCTGAGAAATTCTACCTGTCAGGGAGTGATTGAGTATGGTTTTACGCCGCTTTTAGCATTATTCCAGCAATACCACGGCGGGGGACACCAGAAATGGGCTCCACACGCTGTACCCATGTGGGGAATCGAACCCTGGTCTTCGGCGTGACGCTTTAACCACAAGGCTACCCCACCGCCCCACCTGCCATTATTGTATTGATAGTTCTAGTGTCGTACGCCATGTATTGGCACTGATTAAATACGTGTGTTGTTGAATGCGGCGTAAAACTATACTCAGTCACCACTGATATGTTTTATTATACGTATTTGGACAGACAGGACATTATGAAAAAAATCCAGTGCTATTTTATACACCCGAGGCAGTAGAACTGTCCAGTGGTTAAAACGTTTGCTCGTCACGCCGAGGTCCCTGGTTCCATTTACCTTCTGAGGACATTGTGTGTGAGTCATGTTTGGTCTTGCTGTGCTTGATGTTGCTGTAAGCATTCTAAATCCATACTCACCCACTTATTCATATACTAGGCACATAAAGGAACTGTGTATACAAAAGTTTAAAATCTAAATTTATCAAACCTGTGTAGACACATAAGGATTTAAACTCAGAGATTAGTGACATGTATCCAACATGCATGCACGTGCCACGTTACGTGACGTCAGTGGGTTCGTTTGAGACGTGACGTCAGTGGGCCACACAATACGTCCTTGAAAGACGTGCACATACGTTGTTGCACAGCCTGCATACCGGGAAAGAGAAACGAAGAGCAGAATGAATGCCTACACAATACTGTCACTTTGGAAAGCTCAACCCCTGCCCTTGCGATCGTTCAAAAAATTAAACGGCTATTGAAACGCATAGCATGCCAAGGCTCACGTCTGCACAACGTCATGAGGCCATTGGGATGGTCCGTGGGGGAATGTCTCAACGACAAGTGGCTGCACATTTCCACTGCCACCGGAAAACCATTTCTGCACTGGTGAGACGCTACCAGGACACAAATGACATCATCGATCGGCCACGTTCTGGACGTCCACGTGTAACAACGCCAAGACAGGACAGATGGATAAGGGTGACCCATCTGCGCCACAGGTTTCAGACTGCAGTGATGACTGCCCGAACCATCCCAGGACTTCGCCGTATCCACCCCAACACAGTTCGACAACGTTTACGTCATCACCGGATCAGACCACGACGTCCCGCCATACGGCCTATCCTGACACAGCGTCATCGACAAGCTCGCCGAATGTGGTGCCGAAATCATGTCCGCAGACCTTTGTGTTGGTGGAGAAATGTTGTTTTTTACAGATGAGTCCAGGTATAACATTTCCCATAGTGATGGACGTCAACGTGCCTATAAACGCGTGGGAGAACGTTATGCACAGGCCTGTGTCTTTGAGAGGAATCGCTTTGGTGGTGGTTCCGTGATGATTTAGGGTGGAATAACAGCACGCCAAAGAACTCCTTTGGTGATTGTTAAGGGCAACTTAACTGGTGTGGGCTACAGGGATCAGATTCTTCGACCTGTGGCAATTCCTTTTCTGCAACGTCATGGCCCTGGGTTAACATTCCAACAGGACAATGCCCGCCCTCATACGGCAAGGGTTGCTATGGATGTCTTGCAACACCACAACGTTGACTTACTGCCTTGGCCTGCAAATTCATCGGATCTCTCCCCGATAAAGCATGTTTGGGACGAGATGGATCGACGTCTACGCCGTCTTCCTCATCCGCCAGATAACGTCCTTGACCTTGCAACAGAACTTGAGAGAATCTGGCGTGACATCCCGAAAGCCTTCCTTGCGCGTTTGATAGGCTCTATGCGTCGTCGATGCAATGCTGTTCTCAATGCCGATGGTGGACATACCCGTTGTTGAGCTTGTGACATGGTCGTTTGACCCCTGTCCCGCTTGTGGACTCGTGACGTCATTGTGATTGACTTTTCAATTGAAATTCTCCCGACTTGTTATGGTCTCATGATCCCTCCATTAAAGTTTATATGTACCTTTGACATTGTTATCGTACTTATCAACTGGGATAATATTTTGACAATGCACAGTTTCTTTATGTGGCTAGTATATATCGTATTACAAATACCCGTGAAGATCCGGGTTAGAATAGGTCTCCAGCAACCCATGCTTGTCGAAAGAGGCGACTAACGGGATTGTCTGGTCCAGACTCGATTATTTACAGACCGCCGTCATATAACTGGAATATTGCCGGGGATGGCGTTAAACATACAAACAAAACAAAAGTACAATATTATATGTGATATTTCTATATAACTTCTTTATTTTATAACGACGTATTTTCATACTGTTGTTGAACTGTTGGTTCACTTTCAGCAGTTGTAATCAATATAGATAATATGAGCTGATATTGCTCTCTACTGGAACTAAGATCTGGTTTTAATGAGATTGAAACGATACTAGATAAACTAGTATCAAACATTGTTTCAACTTGTCTGAAAACGCATCCAGTCCTGGAATGAGACTACGACCCTGCGGGATACGTAACATATATCTTCTCCAGTATTCAGTTTATTCAACCTATATCATGACGCATATCTAAACTGTTACCGAGGCAACAGCTGCAGCTGTCAAGAACAGGAAGTCACACTCTTACTTCTTTCGTAAGGTGATCACACAACACGAGGTCCAAAATAATGACATGCTAACCTATTCGTGCAAAATGTTAACAGTTATTGGCCTTTGTTCTTGTAACTAAGAGATACATTAAGAAATTTGTAAAAAAATCCATGCATTATATTCCTTGTTAAAAATGCTCCATCGGCCATGTTGTCGCCACAGTGTACTGTCGACTAAGTGTAGAAAGAAACTGTTGATAAAAACTATGAATTATGCTATAACCGACGGTATCAGTTTGTGACCTATGTACTAGTATATGTTGAATGTCATCAGTTGAGAAATTACACCACAAATCAGACTCTAAACATCAGCACGTGAGGCAACACATACAGTCAGTACCGCTGTCCAACGTGTTCCTTATTTCAGTCGGCAATGTATTCGGTATATTAGTATTGCCAAGCAATGTGTTCGATATATCAGTACCACTGCACAATGTGTTCGATATATCAATACCACTGCACAATGTGTTCGATATATCAGTAATGCTGACGAATGTGTTCGATATATCAGTAATGCTGACGAATGTGTTCAATATATCAGTAATGCTGACGAATGTGTTAGATATATCAGTACTGCTGACGAATGTGTTCGCTATATCAGTACCCAATGTGTTCGATATATCAGTACCACTGCACAATGTGTTCGATATATCAGTACCACTGCACAATGTGTTCGATATATCAGTACCACTGCACAATGTGTTCGATATATCAGTACCACTGCACAATGTGTTTGATATATCAGTACTGCTGACAATGTGTTTGATATATCAGCACTGCTGACGAATGTATTCGATATACCAGTACTGCTGACAATGTGTTTGATATACCAGTACTGCTGACAATGTGTTTGATATACCAGTGACAATGTGACAATGTGTTTGATATACCAGTACTGCTGACAATGTGTTTGATATACCAGTACTGCTGACAATGTGTTTGATATATCAGTACTGCTGACAATGTGTTTGATATACCAGTACTGCTGACAATGTGTTTGATATATCAGTACTGCTGACAATGTGTTTGATATATCAGTACTGCTGACAATGTGTTTGATATATCAGTACTGCTGACAGTACTGCTGACAATGTGTTTGATATATCAGTACGTTTGCTGACAATGTGTTTGATATATCAGTACTGCTGACAATGTGTTGCTGATATATCAGTACTGCTGACAATGTGTTTGATATATCAGTACTGCTGACAATGTGTTTGATATATCAGTACTGCTGACAATGTGTATATCAGTACTGCTGACAATGTGTTTTGATATATGTACTGACAATGTGTTTGATATATCAGTACTGCTGACAATGTGTTTGTTTGATATATCAGTACTGCTGACAATGTGTTTGATATATCCAGTACTGCTGACAATGTGATATATCAGTTTGATATATCAGTACTGCTGACAATGTGTTTGATATATCAGTACTGCTGACAATATATATCAGTACTGCTGACAATGTGTTTGATATACCAGTACTGCTGACAATGTGTTTGATATATCAGTACTGCTGACAATGTGTTTGATATATCAGTACTGCTGACAATGTGTTTGATATATCAGTACTGCTGACAATGTGTTTGATATATCAGTACTGCTGACAATGTGTTTGATATATCAGTACTGCTGACAATGTGTTTGATATATCAGTACTGCTGCTGTTTGAATGTCAGTACTGATATATCGTTTGATATACCAGTACTGCTGACAATGTGTTTGATATATCAGTACTGCTGACAATGTGTTTGATATATCAGTACTGCTGACAATGTGTTTGATATACCAGTACTGCTGACAATGTGTTTGATATATCAGTACTACTGCACAATGTGTTCAATATATCAGTATCGACAAATAATGTGTTCGGTTTATTAATACATTACACCAAACATACTGCTAACGCAAGGTTTTCCCAACAAAAGAGACTGTTGATAGAGAATATAAAGTGAAAAAGCCCCACCTTGAATTTAGCAGAGATACTTTACACTCTACATATGATTTGGGATCAGTTCAAACCCATGTGACTGTCATATGCAAAGATATGTACTAGGATGGCGGTGCTTTGGCTGACTGTCGTTCTTGTTCATCCCCTAGCTGCTATGGCTTCAGCGAAAAGTTCCAAAATCAAATTTAAATCGCGATTGCTAGTGAAGGGTGTTAATGGAAAATAAATAAAATATTACTGCAGTGTATTTCAACGACTCATGTTGCCATGGCGTCAGATTGTTCACGAGAATCTAGATAACTGAAATGCTCTGGGCGGAGAGGAGAACGGTGAAGTTTGAATTATGCCTAGTCAGCAAATTTCCATAGGCGCTCGACTCTGATATATTTATAAGTATGACCTATATGTATAAGATATAAGACCTTATACATATAGGTCAAACTTATAAATATATCAGAGTCAAGCGCCTATGCAAATTTCGTCCATGTCCTGGTGCATTGCAATTGATCGGCTGTGAACCAGATAACAAGTGCTTGATGGCATGGAATGCTACCCAATTTGTGGGGCTCATTGGTACACAATGGTCACACAATGGAACCTGCCCATCCCGATGTTAGTCCACTTCCAGACAAGTGTAGGGTGTTGGGCTTACTCCATCCTGGCCTTTAGTAAATTTTGGCTAGAATAGGTCACCAACACTTTGATGTTAATGTAGATGGGTGATCAGGTGTGTGTGTGTGTGTGTGTGTGTGTGTGTGTGTGTGTGTGCGTGCGCGTGAGAGAGAGAAAAGGGAGGGAAAAGAGAGAGACAAAGAGAGAGAGACAAAAAGAGAGAGACAGAGAGGTGCAATATTCTTGAACGCAACATTGAACCCCATTTCTCCATCAGGTGTAAAAAACACACCTTTGTAACACCTTGTAACATCAGGTGTAAAACACACCTTTGTAACACCTTGTAACATCAGGTGTAAAACGGTGCCACGAACCCGCACTCTACTAGAAGGGGGAGATCCAACCCTACCTTAAACGCTCCCTTTCTTCATTTGAAATAATACCGTTAAACTGACCACCCAGACATCTTACATCATTCTCAACATGACAGAAAACATCTGACTTATCAGATGTCATGTATCACGACATTGGTACATGATAACCTGACATTATGTCAGGCTGACAATAGTTCCCGTCATCAGATTCCCCTCAACCCGACCTCTCAAGCTGGACTTGACATTTACATTCACTAGCTCATCATCTTCATCAGAACACTGCGAGAAGCACCGTGATTACAGAACGATTTTAACGGATATTCCATGTGCAGAGCATAGAAATTCAACCCTGTCCGAAACACTGATATAAATCTTGATATTTTTTGTTTGATGATTATGGTAATTAAGATACATTAGTATTTTTAAGATGGTAACGTAAATTCTTTAAATTGCAATGAGCATGTTTTATATTGCCCTTGGCGGATCTGCAATTTTATATATCATTTGAGCTATCTTCAGATTTTGCTAACAGTTACCGTATATCTCGTGAATGATGAGCGAGTTACCAAGGAATTGCAGATTATCTGTTGCTGGAGAGTTTCTGAGCATATTTGAGAAAAAAATAATCTGACAACTGAACCCGTAGATCTGCACAACCGGAGTAGATGGTAGCAGTACAGGTGGAGGGTTGTGTC